ACCGCAGCCTGATTGCTCAAACCGCATTTTGAGTGCCCCCTACTTTGTTGTCCTAACCGGGCGTACGCCCTTCCAGCGCCTTCGTCGGGCGGTGGGGCGTACTGAAACGCCTTTGCCCTCGGATGATGAGGGCGGCAGTGGCCCGGCGGGGGCGAGCAATCAGGGCCAATCTTTCCGCCTGGACCCGGCGGACAATGCTACCAACCAGATGACCGGTTTTGATGGGGCGAACGTCAACAACATTGACGTGGTCTCCGTGACCGACACCTTTATGGGGGCGTTGGCTTTCGCCCACGGCAAGCCACGCCACCCAAGAACCCGTCTGGCCGCCGGCCTCGGGCGGCATGACGTCTTTGGACGCCTACTTGGCGGCCGCCAACCTGGCAGACTCTGCCCATGGTTTGGGCGAGCCACCTTCAGGCGCTGGCGGCACTATGTCCTCTTCTCCGCCTACAGCTCGACCCGGTGCTTTGACAACATCGGCGTCTACTACCACTGAGCCCACCACGGGCGAAACGCCCGAGGCCGAGGGGCCGCCCACTCCAGGCGCGACCCGCTCAAGGGCAAACAAGATGGCCCTTTCTGGGGCTCGGTTGGCGATTCAATTTGGCGACCAGGCGCCAGCATACCAGCGGGCGATGCCTGGCATCGAACGCAAGGCGCCCTGCAAAAGCGCCCCTTCCTGGCTTGTCGGGCGACCAGGGTGCAGTTGCACCGTTCGAGGGGACCGACCACCTTGCGGCCTCCGGGCACGCGGACTTGGCACAGCCTGGCCCGACTTCCATTGTCTGAGGAGCAGCGCGAGCTGGCCCGGAAGGGCCGCCCCACCGCCACCCATACGCGGCCCTGCCGCACAATGTCCACCAGCGCAAGGCGCGCCAAGAGCGCCAAGTCCGGCTCTGGCAACGCCAGGACGCAGTGATGCAGGAACTTATCAAGAACCCTGCGACCCGCCGCCTATCTCGGGCGACATCATTTCGCCAGATCCGAGACCTCGAACAGGCGATGGAGGCGGGCGAGTACAACCTTCCGCCTGCCTCTCCTGAGGCAGTAACCACTAAAATCAGTGGGCGCGGGGATGAGGGCCGCGTGCTTCCGGCAACGCCTGTGCCGGAGTTGGGCGGTGCCTCCGCCCCATCATGGCGGGAATGGACCGCCCTCACCGTCTGCGCCGCTGCAACCGTTGCGGCATTCGCCTGCGCCAAGAACAGGCGCAGGCACACAGCTGCGTCCGGTTCGTGGACGGTGTCCCAGTACTCCGGTTGGCAGCGCGCCTGAAGTCAAAGGGCGGTCTTAAGCTTGCTGCCGGGCAGGGCCCTGGCAGCCGCCCTGTGCACTCGCTTAGCCTCCTTGCGGATGAGATCCGGTACCGCCTGCTGTATGACGGTGTCCTGGTGGTGCATGGCCGCCTGTACAGCTTCACGGAGCTAAACCCAGCCCGGCGACCAGCCAAGGCGGTATCGGCGCAGATGGTGAGCCATGTCCTCACCTGCGCTCCATAGGCCCCCGAGTGGTGGGGGCCACCATGTCTTGAGGGGGATGTCCGCCCTGCTTGGCGGTGCTAGAATGGGCGACCAGCAGGGGCAGATGCTCCTGCAGTTTGAAGAGGGCAGCAGGGCCGCCATTGTGGCCAAGTATTTTGACTGGTTCAGGCGAGCGATCTTGTGAGTCAAATGCTCGTCGAGCTAACCCACCTCCAGAATCGCCTCCGCTGCCCACGATGGGCGGTGCTAGCGTGGTTCCGCAGACCTCCGCTAAGTTCGCCTCCTTGGGCTGCCGCCCCACTCAAAGCACTCCTCTTTGTGTAGAATCAAGCGGTCTTGGCGGAGTGAAATCGCCCAAAGTGATCCACACCGCAGCCGACCTCGCCGAGGCGGCCCGGACCATACCACGCTGTGGCACTGTGGCGGGGGCGACTACCGCCACAGGTGTCCGCCTAGCGCAGCTCCATTCGCCCCAGTCGGCCCCTTCGGGGGGGGCGACCTGAGCCGCCCACTTATTTCGCGGCCTTGGGAGCTAGCCGCCTAAACCTGGCGGACAGTTATAGCTGCATCAGTATAGGAGTAGGAGGAGGAACAGGAAATTGTCTAGGAGGATCAAGGCCCATGAGGGTAAATGCAGGGAACAACAACAACAACAACAACAACAACAGCCCTTTGACTCTGACTACATTCCACATTCTCA